TGAATTCCAGAAAGGCACCGTGCCAGAGATACCTTATCCAGTCACGGCGACCTCAGATGTACATTGCCAACACTTCCGCCAGTTCCAGTACCGCGAAGCCGATGGGCCCCGAGAGGTTTGCAGCCAGCTCCATCGACTTTGCAACCAGTGGCTGAAGCCGGAGAGGCGCACCAAGAAGCAGATTCTGGACCTGGTGATGCTGGAGCAGTTCCTGGCCCTCCTGCCCCGGGAAATGCAGCGCTGGGTCAGGGAATGCGGGCCGGAGACCAGTTCCCAGGCGGTGGCCCTGGCCGAAGGCTTCCTCCTGAGTCAGGCAGAGGAGAAGAGGCAGGCAGAGCAGGTGAGGGGGTTTCCTCCAGGTATGTCCAGTATGTCGTGAGGAGGGCGGGGTATAAACACAAAAATAAATAAATAAGCAACTATGTCCGACCTTCTCCCAAAGTCTCCCTGAGAGATGTTTGTCCAAGTGCCAACCATCCAAGTGGGAGATTTAGCAGCCTTTTCGGCAGCCTCTTCTACGAGAGAATGTCTTGTCCCTCCAGATAACTCAGCGGGTCTGCTGATGGACGGGTGCAGAGTCTGGGAGTGGGGAGGATGCATTGCTTGGTCTCTTTCCCATTCCGTCTCTCACCGTATGTATTAGTTTTTTACTCCGTATCTTCAGCAAGAAGCCACGGGTTAGCCACGGGTGCACTACGCTTCCCAGATGTTGCGGTGTGATCGCGCCCGAAAAATCCACCTATCATCCGTATCTTTAGCGCTACAAATGCTCCGTGTGAACGGGACCAAAATATACTTTTGTAGGTTTTTAGAACGTGAGAAAAACACAAGGCTCTTCCAGGCAATGGCCTCCCATTGCATGCAAATACAGCGAAATAGACTTTGATGGATCCTTTGAGCAAGATATCCTGCTTGCCTTTTGCACACTCGATGGTGAGAAGATGGCTTGCGCCCGGCCAGCACGGGGGAAAAGGGGTGACTGAAGTACCTCACATAAGGGGACAAGTGTGACTCATTCCTAGCCACTGTTCCCGAATCCATCTCAGCTGAGAATTTCTTCCCAAGAAAGATTTTTGCATTGTGGTTGTCATTTGGGTCTAGGGTTGCCAACGCTATAGATCAGGGGTGTCGAACTTATTTGTTATGCGGGCCGGATCTGACATAAAAGAGACCTTGTTGGGCCGGGCCATATGTGTCATAAAACGTAACGCCAGGTAGCAGAGATATAAACTTTATAAAGGATACAAATGCAAAGGTTTTTTTTTTACTTAGCATAAAAAATAAAACACATGCCTGAAACATTAGCATTCTTGCAATATTTTGTTTATTAATTTAATAAGATTATGCATGGGAAAGAGCAGGTAGAGAAAGAGGTACTTTTCTCCCTTTCTCACAATACAAGAACTCGTGGGCACTCCATGAAACTGCTGAGCGGTCGGGTTAGAACAGATAAAAGGAAGTCCTTCTTCACCCAAAGAGTGATTCACACTTGGAATTCACTGCCACAGGAAGTGGTGGCGGCTACAAGCATGGACGGCTTCAAAAGGGAATTAGATAAGCATATGGAGCAGAGGTCCATCAGTGGCTATTAGCCACAAGGTATAGATAGGGGCTCTGGGGCAAGTGATGCTCTGTCTTCTTGGTGCTTGGGGGGGGCAACAGTGGGAGGGCTTCTAATGTTCTGGCCCCACTGGTGGACCTCCTGATGGCACCTGGTGTTTCTGGCCACTGTGTGACACAGTGTTGGACGGGATGGGCCTTTGGCTCTTATGTTCTTATGTTCTTAACAGTCTCTGATAACGGACACCTCTTGCTCTGAATTATTGCAGCAAAATGTCTGTGCTGTTGCAATCGGGGAGGGGGGGGTGCCTCAGCCCCAGGGCAGGGAGCAGAAGCTTGCCCATCTATCTCTCTTGAGTGATTGAGAGAGTCTGGGAAAGCAAGCTACGACGCAGCAGCAGCAGCAGAACTGGCGGAAGAAGCAGGAGGCAGCCAGTCCCTGGTGGGCCTGATAGAAGCCCTCTGGGGGCCTGATCTGGCCCCCGGGCCGCATGTCTGACACCCCTGTATTAGATAAGTTGATGGAGGGCAATTCCTCCCATTAATTAAAATATCCATCAGTCACCTTCCTTCCAGAAGAGGAACTGAAGGTGGCTCAGAAAAAGAAGAAAAGTTAGAAAAACCCAGGCAGAGCTATTCAAACTGGCGAATCAAAGGGAGCGTCCACTTTCTGGGGCAGCAGAGCATGGAAAACCAGTTCCCAAGAGCCACGGAAAACATTGGCGCCTGTGTCCGTGCTTATAGGGGCATCCGGTGGGCCCGTGTGGGGAATAGGACGCTGGAGCAGGGGCGAGAGGCTGTGGCCTGGCGCCTCCCAGGAGCTTTGGGGACAGCGCTGGGGTGGGTCTTGGGGCACATGGGACGTCATCTTCAGGTTGCGCCTGGCTGAAAACCTGGTTGTGATGTTAGCAGCACAAGAGAGGATCTGAAAGTTAACTGATATTACCCTAGAGCTTCTAAAAGCGCTCAAGTGACACCTGGCTTTTGGGCCGGATGTGATGGTGACCTGTCATGCAACATCAGGGGTCATTTCGTAGAAAAAGAGGGGCAGGAGCTCATTAGCATAACTCATTTGCATAACTCATTTGCACAACTCATTTGCATATGCCACACCCCCTGACATCACCAGAAGTGTGTCAGAAGGCAACGCCCACCGCTCAGGCTCCACTGGACTGTTTTGGATTGCTAGCTATTGGGGGGGGGGGAACATGCAGATCTGTCCTCGCAGAGGAGGGAGAGCTTGTACCTGAATAAAACCTGGTCTTAAAGGTGCCACTGGACTGTTTTGGGCCGGGGGGGGCAGTGGGGGCTCTGCAGCTTACCTGGCTGCTTCTTGCTCTGACTGAGGGCTGCTGGGAGCAGGGGGTGGGGCTTGTTGTATGTGCCCGCCCCCTGGGCTCTTTACTGCTGGAGCTCCGCTCCTGTAGGAAATGACTCCTGTGCAACATCATTTCCACCCTTCCTCCCTCATTTCTCTTGCTAACAGGCAGTGGAGAGATGCTGCAGAACCATCATCTTTTCGGAGGCGTGGAAGCCCCGGCTTTACCTCCAGTCCAGGTAGGGGAGATGAGCGTGGGACGGCCTGGGTCCCCCCCCCTTTCTCAGGGGGGCTTTTGCTCCTGCAGTTTCTACAATGGCTTGGGTGAGAGAGGCTCTGAACGCCTTTACCCATGCCCAACCACCATACATCCTGTACTGTCCCAGACGGCACCATTCCAGTGTGTGCAGTCTCTACCTGGCATGATCTCTGATGAGGGTAATCCACTTTTCCTTTCAGTCTCCCTTTTCCTTTGAGGAGGTGTCTGTTGGTTTCACCCCAGCAGAATGGGCCCTGCTGGATCCAGGCCAGAGAGCTCTCTACAGGGAAGTCATGCGGGAGAACTACGGGAACGTGATCTCTCTGGGTAAGGATCTTTCACGGGTGCCAAAGGTGTGGATTGCTACCCATGGCATGATGCACGAAGCAGATGATTGAACAGCATGGAGACAGATCAAGACGGGTCGCCGTGTTAGTTTGTCTGCAGCAGTAGAAAAGAACAAGAGTCCGGTAGCGCCTGAAAGACCCATGGGATTTTTTTTGGTAGGGTGTGATCTTTCGTGGGTCACTGCTCCCTTCTTCAGAAGAAGTATCTGACAGAGAGCCAGTTTGGTGTCGTGGTTAAGTGCGCAGACTCTAATGTGGGAGAACCAGGTTTGATTCCCCAGTCCTCCACGTGCACCTGGCTGGATGACTTTGGGCAAGCTGTGGTTCTGATAAGAGCTGTTCTTGAAAAAGAGCAGTTTCTGTCAAGAGCTCTCTCAGCCCCACCCGCCTCACAGGGTGTCTGTTGTGGGGAGGGGAAGGGAAAGGAGTTTGTAAGCTGCTCTGAGACACCTCTGGGTAGTGAAAGGCGGAGTATAGATCTTTTACCTCACAGGGTGTCTGTTGTGGGGAGGGGAAGGGAAAGGAGTTTGTGAGCCGCTCTGAGACACCTCTGGGTAGTGAAGGGTGGGGTATGAATCCAACCTCTTCTTCTTCTCTTCAGTGTGGATTCTGTGAACTTAGTCAGATGATGAGATGGGAGGGCAGGAAGGGTTGCCTCAGTGCTTAGTTCTCATGGCCCTTTCTTACACCTCTTTGGGGTCAGGAAGCAATTCTGGAGGGATTTTTCGTCATCTTCTGGGTGAGGAACAGTGGTCACTGCGGGTGTGGAGGGGGGGGAGGTATTGGTGAATTCCCTGCCTGGTTCAGGGGGTTGGACTAGATGACCCCCGGAGGTTCCTTCTGCCTCTGTGATTCTGTGATAAGTGAGCCTTGACTCAGGAAAGCTCATAAGCTACAAAATATCCTGTTAGTCTTTAAGGTGCTCCTGGACTCTTACTCTTTTCTGTTGAACAGCAAAACATTTTGAGGCCTTTCCGGCTACTTCCCCAGGGGCAACTGAGGCCAGTGTGGTGGCCATGACCGAAGGCAGAGAAGGTGTCCTGGCCGAAGCCATCCTTCCTGAGCTAAGATAAAAATGTGTGAGCCGGAGGCTAAAAAAACTGTGAGCTAGCTCACACTAACTCAGCTGAGAGGGAACACTACTCACAGGGTGTCTTTTGTGGGGAGGGGGGGAGGGAAAGGAGATTGTAAGCCGCTCTGAGACTCCTCTGGGTAGTGAAGGGTGGGGTATAAATCCAATCTCCTCCTCCTCCTTCACTAGATTTTCAGAGTGAAGGTGGAGGGGGGGGTTAAGAGTCAGGCAAGCTGGGAGAGGCTGAAGGGCCGTCAGTCCTTTCCTCCTGCAGTCAAATAGATGCCTTTGGACCTTACCTGCCCTCCCAGGTGTTAATAGAATTTCTCTCTTTCTTGCAGCAGAGGATGATCAGAGGAATGAGAAGGGTGAGGAACTTGATCAGCAGTTGCCGGATCGAGTTAAAAATGGAGACTTGAAAGAAAACATCAGGAATCAAGGCAGACCTAAGAGAAAGAAAGGCAGCCGTCTGGTTGAGAAGAGAGATGGAAGAGGGCGTAATGTACATCTTCCAAAGCAGAGGATAATGAAGGCAAGTACATCCACTCAGTGTGAAAAGTACTCCAAAAGTAGATCACAGTTCCTTGTGCACCAAAGAACCCACACAGGGGAGAAGCCTTTGGAATGCTCAGAGTGTGGAAAGAGATTCCGTGAGAGGGGGTATCTTCAAAAGCATCAGAGAACCCACACAGGGGAGAGACCTTTTGAATGCTCAGAGTGTGGAAAGAGATTCAGTCAGCATGGCAATCTTCAACTGCATCAGAGAACCCACACAGGGGAGAGACCTTTTGAATGCTCAGAGTGTGGAAAGAGATTCATTCAGAGTAGCAGTCTTCTAGAACATCAAAGAACTCACACAGGGGAGCAACCTTTTGAATGTTCAGAATGTGGAAAGAGATTCAGGCTAAGCAGGAATCTTAAGAGGCATCAAAGAATCCACACAGGGGAGAAACCTTTTGAATGTTCAGAATGTGGAAAGAGATTCAGTCGAAGCAGCACTCTTCAACTGCATCTAAGAACCCACACAGGGGAGAGACCTTTTCAATGCTCAGTGTGTGGAAAGAGATTCAGTCACCATGGCAATTGTCAGCTGCACCAAAGAACCCACACAGGGGAGAAACCTTTTGAGTGCTCAGAATGTGGAAAGAGATTCAGGTTGAATGGCGATCTTCAAAGGCATCAGAGAACCCACACAGGGGAGAAACCTTTTGAATGCTTA